AAAAAAATAAAAATTTTAAAATCCTATTTTGCTGACCCAGCATGATATAAAAACTGAAAATATAAATTTATATAGTCTAATTATCTAAATTTTGCTGTTGGTGGGTTTTGAACTTACAATCTACCACTTGGAGGTATGACAACTTATCCACTTCACTAAGTCACCACACTCTTAATTTTATATTAATATTTAAAAATTAATATTTTAATAAGTTTTTATTTAATTAGTTTACTTAATATAATTTTTTATAAATTTAAATATAAAAAAGAATTACTACTAAGTTTATATATAATTTTAAAATAGTACACTCTACTCTTAAAATATTATTAACTAATAAAAAAATTAGCAGTTTGGATAAATAATTTACTGCTTATTTTGTTTTCTTTTAAGAAAAATATTATAATTATATTTTAATTATATTATTTTTATATTTAACAAAAATTAAAAAAACTTATAAATTAATAATATAGTAGTTAGCATTTCTAGGTTTTAATTATAAGATTATAAGTTTGAGTTTAAAAGTTAATACAACTCTACTAAAATTACAAATAAAAATAATTTACAAAAGATTTCTATTTAAAAAACAAAAAAAAACTTTATATAAATAAAATACAATTATTAATATAGTTACAGAATTAAGAGATGTGATAATTTAATAAAGTTAATAAGTTGTTAACTCTCCAAGTAATAGGTAGTGAGTTCAAAACCTATTGATGGCAAAAATTTGAAATAAAATATCTGTAACTATAGTTACATCAATATAACTAGCAGGTTATAAGACATTTGCATAATGTTGGAACTATACAAAAAAATGCAAACTAGTATCAAGTAATGCAAACTCAAGATAAGTTCTTATGATCATATAAATCTATAAAACTGAAAAGCTAAAGTCTATTTAGAAAGACCTAAGTAAAGAGGTAGCATAGATCTTTGATGATATTACTATAAAGACTAGACTTAAAAAATAAATACCAATATAAAAGAAATCAGATAGGCAAGAACTTCAGATAAGAGATACTACCAACTAGACTGCCAGAAGTCTTGAACTAGAAGAAAAGAATTTTGCAACCAGACTCTTAAAATACTAAGAACAGGTTACAGTCCTTCTAAGCTATTTAGATTTGAAGTTTAAAAACTAAAGCAGAATATACTGTAGCTAAGTACTAGAGATATACTATAAAGTTGATATTGGTGTTTAGGTAAACTTTATAAGAAAAAACTTTGTTAACAAAAATTAAATATAGGTAGTTAGTTAAAAAAAGGGCTCTTTAAAGATTTACAGTTAAGTGATATACTTTAAAATATATAATAACTTGACAGATATATAGAAAAAGATATCAAAGTTAGATTAGATAACACTTCAGTATATAGAAACTTGTGTACTATTTGCTAGTATAGTATAGAGATCACCTTATACAAGTTATGTAATTATAATTGAATTCACAATAAAGGCAATAGCTACTGATAACTAAAAACCTTAGTAAAAGCAATATATATATATATATAAATAGTTACAGAATTAGAAACAATTAAATAAAATATAATTTGTTAACAAATAATATTAATATTAAAAAATCTGATTTAAAAATATTGAAATATATGAATAATCTGATTATAGATTATATGAAATTAAATAACTATAAATTAAAAAAAATAATAGATCTTATATTATAAAATTAAGAACCTAAAATGTTATATAATAGTCTTAATGAAATATGAATTTTTTTTTTTTTAAAGTTAAACTAGTTTTTTTAAGACTAGGACTTTTTTATTCAGTATAGTAGAACATGATAGTTCATGGTCTGATTACTTCAGAGAAACTACCTTATATTAGAGAGTACATCTAGCTACACATACATTTTTGGTATTTAATTTAAGTAGTCTGCCTATATATAGATTCTATACTAGCTGCTATATCTGCAATCTAACTATAAGTATTGTTTATTTAAACTCTCTGTATTGCAATTCTTACTGTATTACTAGAATATCTCTATTACATAATATTAGTCAAGAAGTTCTAAATGCATACTCATACCTTTAAGACTTCTGCTTTATTTCATATAGATTATTCTTAAAACATTATTACTAGAACCTTCAGTATTCCAATTTACAGCTAAACCTAGTTTACAACTCTTGCAAAGTTTATACAATTCCAGTACCCTCTTTTTACAACCTTACTGATACCTTGTCTATTTTTGCAAGTTCTCTTATACTACCAATCTATTAACTCTGCATAATGCAACTTTATGCTTAAATCAACTAGTAGCCAGGTTGGTAAACCTTCTACCTAGAGGTTCTTGCCTATACAGGTTATCTGTCTTGAGTTTTTTTCTTCAAATCAAGATTTCACAAATAGTATCATCAAAAATTGTATTACTTCTCATTCAGAATTTTTAAAACAAACTTCTAATCCAAGTATATACTTTTTAGATGTATTTGTATGCATTGCATACTTTCAAAGTTAGTTTTGGTATAACCAGAATTACAGGATCTACAAACTTAAATCACAGATAAGTTTGCCAAAATAGAACCATTTTTTCAAAATTCTGTTGCCAATAGGAATTGAACATTGGACCTATTGCTTAAAAAATAACAATCTAACTACTACACTAGGATTGCTATTTTCATGTGAGTTATTTTATAAATTTAGTAATATATAAGAGTTATATATTGTTTAATAATTTTTGAAAATAATAATTTTAATTTTTAAAAAATATAATAAATCTTAAAAATATTTAAAAATCTTTAGAATAGTATAAAATAAATAAAAAATAAAAAAAGAATATAATAGCTTAGTGAAATAGATAAGTTATTATTTTTTCAAATAACAAATTATAAATTCAAAATTTATTGAAGATAAAATTTGAAAAAATATATCTATATTATAATAACACCATTTTGTCAATTAGTTGAAATAAGATATCTGTAACTATAATCACATCAATATAACTAATAAATCAAGAAACATCTGTGTAATTTTAATTAAACAATAAAATGCAAACCAATAATACTAGGTGATGCAATCTCAAAATAAGTTTTTATGATCATATAAATCTATAAAATTGAGAAAACTAAAACTCAATTAAAAAGATCTAAGTAAAAAAGTAATATAAATCTTTAATAATACTATTGTAAAGACTAAATCTAGAAAACAAATAACAATATAAAAAAATTAAGTAAGTAAGAAACTTTAGATAAGGAATACCACTAATCAGACTATCAGGAGTTTCAAACTAGAAAAAAAAAATATTGAACCAGACTTAATATAGTAAAAACAGATTATAATTTTACTAGACTATCTAAATTAGAAATTAAATAACAAAACAGAAGTATATTATAAATATTAGAAATATATTATAAAATTAATATTAAGATCTAAGTAAACTCTGCAAAAATTAACCCTGTTAATGTCTTATAAAAAAGTAGATAAATTAATTAATAAGAAACTCTCAAACCTTATAGTCAGAGAATGTATTTTAAAATATGTAATAACTTGATGAATATATAAAAAGAAAGGTAAAATGTTAGATTAGATAACACTTAAATGTACAGAAGCTAGTGTGTTATTTGTCAGATATAGTATAAAGATCAAAATGTTTAAGTAAATAATCTCTTAGCAGATTAAAATATAACCTTTAATTAGACTACTTAAATAGGCAACCAAATGTTACATGTGTAATTAGTTGCACTTCATAATTAAAAACACAATAAAGATGGTAACTGCTGTAAACATTGACCTTAGCAAAAGCAAAATAAAATAAATAAAATAAATAAGAAAGCTGAATACTAACAGTTCTAATAATGCTAATAATACTAATAACATTAATAAAGTAATAACATCACATAGTGCTATGAAGTGCTAAAGGTTTTATTAGACACCTGTAAAATCAATAACTTTAAACAATATTAGTAATGGTTGGTAAAACTAAATTGTACAAAAATGTACAAATAGAGAGATAGCAAAAGATCATAATAACTTGAAATGTATAAATAAAGTTCAACATTCACAAAGCTAATAAAGGAATCATCGTGTCTTCATACACGAATAACTCGAATACATTATTCAGTTCTAAACAACTCTATGATCAAGAAATAATCGTGTCCTCATACACAAACAACTCGAACACTTTATTAAATAAACATACAATTGACGATTCCATAAAGAGTAATCGCATCTTCATACACGAATACCGGGAACAATTAGTAATTGGTTATAGTGTCTCCATACACGGATAATTCGAAGTATTTTATTGAATAAATTGTAAGCTTGTTATACGACTACTTGTATCCCCATATACATTTAGCCGTTTGCCTCTTTCATAACTGCAAATCACCTTAATCCTCTTAAAGCGTAACTGCAATAAACCCCACTCTTTACTTAGCATAAATCGGCAATTGTCATCAATCGAATAGTATAACCGTCGCTACAGTAAAGCCGTTATGCTAGACTTATAAGAGGTATCCGGGTGTAACAGTACCTACGGGTACTCTTCAATTTAAAAAATGGCATTTTTTAATAAGGCCCCGGGCAATAACCGAGTCAAAATTAATGCCATAACGATAAATATACATATCATAAAAACTATTTTGCTTACTAAAAGTATTTCGGTATTGTGAAATTGGTGAGTTATTTCAGAAATTTATATACTGAAATGCTTTTGTCATGCCTAAATAGTCCCTAACACGTATAGTTCACATTGACAAATTAGAGAGGGCTGAGTTTAAATTGAGTTCAAATCAATATACATTTTTCGAAAAAATTCTGATGATTAAACCAAAAGATCAACATTTATATTAACACCGTACTCTTCGTAAAACCGTTTTGCTGAGTTTGCAACCGAATTAAAATACTACAAAGCAGATTTAATATAAAACCTGTTTAACTCGAATTTAAAATTGAATTAGATTAACCGGTTCCAACCTTCAATACATCTAGCATATGTATGCACTATAAAAAAAAACTACATCAAAGTTCAAAAAAATCGAATCTGACGATATGTTTAATCAACCAATACTCCTTTTGCTCTTAAATCATTTTTTGCCGATTGAATTTCCTGATTTATGTAAGAAATTATCATTAAATTTGTATTAAATACAATTTTAAACAAGACTAAAGACCAAAAAATTACCTCCATTAATTCATGGTAAGCATCATTGCAATCTCTGAATCTATATAAGTGGTATCCGATATTCCCAAGCGAGTATGAACCAAAAGAAATGAGAGCCCACCAAGGAAGCTTTTTGATAAATATATTTTTTTTAAAAGTAAAAACTTATTATGAACAATATTATAATAATGAATAATAATAAAAAAAACCAACTAACCACTGGTAAGATTTCTTCTTGAATAATTTGTGGCAACGGAATTATCCCGAAAAAGGATATAAGATATATTATAGAAAGTATGCTAAGGAATATTGTTGTTTCTGTTGCTCTTGTCATTTTTTTGGATATGGAGTTTTATATACGGGATTGACTAACGAGAAAAAAGGAGTTTAGTACTTATGAAGCTTTAATTTGTGTTACGTTAAGCAATGCAATTCCTAATTTATATATTACGTGATTACGACCCAACCTATTAATGCTAATCTCAACAGTCATACGATTTGTCATGACTTAAAGGTGCTGCGAGATTAGTTTCATCAAATTTCACCAATTCATTTTCACTGCTCTAATTTTATTTCACAAGCATCTTTAATCACGACGTGTTATTTCTAATTACGATCTAAATTAAATCTGGGCATCTCCCGCGGGACTCATACAGGGGTCACCAAAAATTCCGGGTCGGAATACCTCGAAATCATGATCGGCATGGCCGGAATTAATTTTGCCCAAGATCACTAAAAGTTTTGCTAATGAAGTCATGGCTCAGTCATTGAGTAAAGCTGCCCAGCTGATAATTTTGGCCCAAATGCAGGCCCTACCGAAAAATTGATTTTTGTCATACGTCATACAATAAACATCAAGCACTAGGGTGTACAACATCGGTATAATTACAAACATAGTGCAGGTGATATAGTGATGATCACTAATCGAGATTTTTTATAATAAAAAATTTTTTGATCGAAATTTACTATTTGAATATTATAAAAAATATCTCTTAATTTCTCGCCTAATATTCAATACTGTTTAATTCCACAAAATAAAAGTAATTAATAAAGGGCGTCTTTACATCGTAACAACGTTGAAATTTTGTTTCACTAACAAAATAATTTTTTTCATGGGTACGAACTTCGTAGAATTAGTCACATGATAGATTTTATGTGGTACGAAAAGTTAACGATTTAGATCGATACGAAACTTTATTACTTACATAAATATAAGAAAATGATACTATTCAACTACAACACATATTTATTAACTAAAATTATTTTGATTGCAGCAAAACAGTAACGATGAATATGTAATCACTGTCAATAGCAACATAATTCATAAATTATTTGGACTTGAAAGTTAAGTGTTTGCTACAAAAACTATTAATTTAATATCATTTAAAAAAATTAATATACTACTATTATAGTCATAGGATAGTATATCTACTTTGAAAAAAAATTATAGTTAGATTAATTTTTATGCCTCCAAGTAAGAAATTCATTAAGAATTTCATATACTTTTTCTTCTTTAGAAACCTCACTACTTTCTAATCGTTCATTAACTCTCAAATTTCTAGCATTTTGCTGAGCATTTCTCAACATATCTTGCGAAATTTCTTGAATACCACTATCCAAATCAGAGAGTTGAATGCATGATTCTTGTAGTTTAATATTCATATTTGGGTGGACTTTTATATTATATCGATTAAACAGTCCTTCTAATTGCTGTTGGTGTATTACGATACTCTAAATATGAAATTTAATGAATTCATAAATGAGAGAGAATTTAGTTGGTTCTGCTGTATCAGAATTCGCAAATGCTTTGAATTCCTCAAAAAAATCATGCTGTGTTAGTGTTTCTTGTAATCTAAAGGTGGTTGGATGTCCTTTAGACAGATCTTCTTGTAAAAGATTAGTGTAAGAAATTTTTTTCGTAGTAGGGATTTTTGTAAAGTTTTTATTAGAAAAAACTTTCAAAAAAGCATGAGCAAATTCTGGTCCATTTTCATCACCTAATCGACAAATGCATAAAGGCAGGTGAGTCTAGCATTCCATCTATTTAATAAATTCATTTAATGCATTTTCAATTCCAATTCATAATAATTCATGAAAATTGTGCAAATCTGTTATATTAAACTCATGCTCAGCATCAGCTAATTCGTCTTCAAATAATATATAAATATTATTTAAACAATCTTGAAGCTCTTGAATCCATAAAATTACCTTATCTGATATTTCATAAGCATGATTTCCTGATGATAAAACAGTAATTATATTATCTTGTTGATGAATATGAGAAGTTGGGTCATGACCGATTAGAAAATTATAGATGGGCTCATAGAACTCTCACCAAACTTAATTAAACAACGAATTTGAAGGTTAAGTCATTTATCTGTTAACCATTTAAGGAATATTTGCCACTTGTGTAAGTATGATTTTGGAACATTTTTGGCATTTTCAAGTTGTTCAATAAAGAAATACGTAAAGGAAATATGAACTTCATGCCTAGTAAGATATTGTTTGGCAGTTTTAAATTCATATAACCACCATTGATGAATGGGTTGTTGATACTTAGTGATCTCAAAATCAAACAATATTTTATAAAGCTTTTGAAATGTTTTGGATTTTAAATTTAGAGGACTATCTTTATTCGAATAATCATAACCATCATGAAGGTGAAAAGCGAGATTAAGTAAATTATATAGGTGCTCTTTTAATGATAGTCCTTTAATAGTATCTAACTTTCCAAACGTCTTATTTTTAAAATTTGTTAAAGCAATATGAGTCGTGTGCAATCCACAAGGAATCCGAAATGATTTAGATACTGCTAATAAGTTGAATTTGGCAACTGCACCATTAAATTCTGAGGACATATAGGCCATGTTATCAGTTAGCCAGAAATGACACTTCTGAGAATCAATACCTTTTTGTTGACACGTTTCGAATACTGTAGTCGAAACTGTTTCAGCATTACAGTGCTTCAGGTCTGTTAATTTTACTACAGTAACTGCTGGCCTTTCTTTAATGTTATTTCAATATGAGAAACAGATAATTAGTACTTTCATTTCTCCTCTAGTGCTTTCATCAACCATTACGCCATAGTCAAAAAATCTGGAACAAGTGTCTATAGGACAATTGTGATCACAAGACAACACTGCTATTTCATTGTTCCATCATGCTAAAGTGCTTGGTGTTATCCATTGTTGTGGCATTTCTCCAGTTAAAAATTGATAGAAGGCTTTAGTACATTCTACTGTTGCATGTATAAAGGTTTGTCCTATATTACTAATGTCAGTAGCTAATTTTACAAACCTTGCATTGTATTCTTTATTATCAACTTTAAATAGTTGATCAACTGCATGTTGAAATTGAGCAGGTTGAATTTGTTTTGCTCTATGAATGGCTGCTCGAATTTTTGAAATTTGTTTTTGTTTGTTTTGCTTTGCTCTAGCCAATCGCACAGAAAGTGACTGAATTTTGGTGTCTGCGATAGTTTTATATTTTGTTAAACATGTATTCTCTTGCCGTAAATTTTTATTTTGTAATCTTAATGTACAGATATTATTATCTAATTTATAATAACTATCATTAATAAAATCTTGTGCCTTTTTTTGCAAATAGGCGGAAATTAATTCTCCTTGATGATCTTCTCAAGTATATACCATTGTTTGAAAAAGAGAAAATGCATCAAATATTTGCTGATCAGGTAAATTACAAATTTATATTAACAGTTCATTCTGTTTTCTTTAAATATGACTGAAAATTTCTCAAGGCTCTAAAATTTTTTTTATTATATAATTAAAATCATTATTATCTAACTGTGCAAATATTAAAATTTGATCATCAAGCAATGCCTTTTGTTGTTCACAATTTCGCAAGTTTCTGCTGTTTTTAAGTTGCTTATTTTGCGGGCTTAGTCGACCTATTGAGGTATATGTTAAAATAATGCTTATAATTTTGTGATCTACACTTTTGATAGAAACACTAATATTTAAGAAACAATTTTATTATGCTTGAAGCTTTTGATGTTAGAAAAATTTTTATGCTTAGAATTAGGATTTGTGCTTATTTATTATATTGGGGATATGGGTAGGATTTTTTAAAAATTTTAATCTTGTTAAACAGTATAATTACGCATGTCTAACACTCAAAAATACTGAAACACATAGTTCATTCAATAGGCGTATGGTAGATTTTGGAAGGTCACAAATAATTAGAAAATGGCTTTTTTTACTTAAGTTTAGTATATTGTCAAGTAATTTTTTACTACAGTGAATTTACTTTCTTTTTAAATATTTTGTAGATCAATAATTATGAGCATATGCATTTAAGATATATTTTTTTGTTAAAGCTGAAAATAGTATAAATGAGTATAGAGAAAAAATTATTGTTCACTTTGACTTTGTTTTGACATGTTTTTCATGCAAGTTTTAAATATAACATAACTACTTATTTACAATGCGTCTTATTTTAATAGAACTGATTATCTATTTACATGTAATTTTATTATTAAAAGAAGACATGAACTGTCTTTTATATTTAACAATATTTTAAGAATTGCTATCTTAGTTCTGAATTCAAATGTATTATACTAAAAAAAATATAATTTGTCGAATTTTGGCAATTTTAGAATTTAATATTCTTTGAATTTCAATAGCACTTCGATTTGTATTATTAAAAAAATAATTGATATAAGAATTCAATCAAATGAATAATTACTATTTAATATTTTTGAAAAGAAAGACAAAAACGATTATTAAAAATTATATATTGCTTCTGTACTTGCAAGTATTGTTTATTACGTATATAGTAATTCAAAAATCCTTTATTAAGTGATTTTTAGATTTAAAAATGTTTTTACATTATAATATTTCCTATATTTATATCTCAATGCGTAGATAAATCTGGAAAATATACAATAATTCTTTTATTAAATAGTACGAAAAATCTTGTCACAGTGCATTAATGGTTCTCTAAATGGTTAAATATTGAACAACAATTCTCAACGTAATGCAAAAAATTCAATTGCTTTACTGAAATATTTCATATTTTCTATATTTGCATTAACAAGATAAACCTGCTAAGAATATAATACTAGTTGTATTCCAATCATGTTATAATTCTTCATTTAATAAGAATTACAAGTTCTCTCCTGGCAGCACTCAAGTAATAACCGTCTAGACATTAATCCAAAATTAATAATTAACATTGTTAGAAAACCTCTAAACTTAAAAAATAAGTGTTTCAATAAAAATATCCAACTTCCCTTGTTTAAATAAACCCCTTTGTCTGAATCAATTTGGCAAATTCCTTTGTCTAGATCATTCGTTGAACACCCTTTGTCTAAATAATTTATTGAATTCCTTTTGTCTAGATAATTTGTCAAATTCTCTTTGTTTAGTTAAACTTGTTAAACCATTTTTTGACTTTTTAAATAGCATCTTAACAAAGAACAAACAAGAATTTTGAACAATTAATATATATAATTGCTTTGAAAAGAAAGTTCTATATAAATCATACCAACTTTTCCTCAATGTGACCATTTTTATCTTGTCAAAGTTATTCACAAATGCCACTCAGATGCCCTCATAAAAATAATTCTCAAAAATCCAATTATTACTCTAATAAAAAAGCCAATAAACTTGTTGAATACAATAAATATAATAAGCCTTTTTTTAATGATACAATTCATGTTTCTCTTCCCGTTAAAGTAGATGAAACTGGCATTAGATTTTCTGTATTTATGGAAATGACTCCCATTCCGTGTAAAATAAACAGAAAAGAATGAAATAACTATATTAAATAACATTTGAAAAAGGTCAGAGGCATCTTCAACACAACCTATGATATAAACGATCCTGATAAAAAAATCTGCTCCTTATATAGTGCTCTTGATGGTAATGATATAAGACCAACTAAGGTTTTATCTAGTTGTTTAGTTGCTTTAAATAAATTTAAAAAATATGAAACATTCATTAATGCAATACATAAGTATTCAGCGGAAACAGAAAAAGAGACACAATGGCACTTTACTCAATCCATACCACCATCTGGGAACATTATGTGGTTCTTTGAAACTGCATTAGGCTTTAATAAAGATGCTGAAATAGGAAATGTTACATTTGAGTGTGTTCTTGAATATAAAGAATTAACTTCTGGCACAAACCTCCTACCAGATAATGAAATAGATAATGAATATGAGTATTTTGAAAATGGAGAGGTTATATTCAAAGATTATGAAAGAGACCTAACACCTGATATTGAGCTTTTAAATAATGGAAAGGTGGTGGGTGAACAAAGTAATACAGTTATTTTAGACATCTGAGATAAATTTGTAAATTTTGTACGAGTTTTTTTTTTTGTTATTGTTATCTCTGTATGACGTTAAAAATTTATCATATGACTAATTCTATGAAGTTCATACTCATGAAAAAAAATTAATTTGTTAGCGAAACAAAAATTTTAATATTGTTACGATGTAAAGAAACTCTTTAATAAATACTTTTATTTTATAGAATTAAACAGTATTAGTTATTAAGTGAGGAATTAAAAGATATTATTTATAATATTCAAATAGTAAATTTTGATCAAAAAAATTTTTATTATAAAAAATCTCAATTAGTAATTGTCACTATATCACTTGCACTATGTTTGTAATTATACTGATGTTGTATACCCTAATCAAGCACGCACTGAATCTGTGATGGGTTATGCCAATCTTCGCTAATTGTAGCTAATAAAATCACAAGATCTTATGTAACTTAAAAGCACAAAATTTTAGTATATGAACATTTTTAAATAATTGCAATTAAATTCAATAGCCTTTCACTATGCTACGTAGAAAGTTACCTGGTGCAATCCGAATTTTTAAACAGTGAAAGCGAAAAATCCAAAATCACATATACAGTTAGCTCCAAAAGAGCTACCTCAGGATCATTGTCAAATTTTGTAAGTCTCATTTTAATGTAATGTTACATGATATAAAGATCAAAACAAAACTTTTGTTTTTTAAAAATTGCTTATTTCTCAAAAACTTGCATAAGAAACCACCTTTTGCGCTCTAACAAATAAAATTTCTTGAGTAATTTTACTATTACCCTATAAATCTAGCCCTATTATAAATGCTAACCCTAAATTAAACGAATTTAAAGATTTTTAAACACTGTCACATGAAAGTGAAAATTTAATAGCAATACTAAGTAAAATGTCATAAGGAGAAATTACAGCAGAGACCATTAATGTTGCACATACACTCTACCCTCGTTATAACAGAGTGATCAGGTTGGGAAATTCTATTCATTATAATGAATATCTGCTATAGTATTTTATAGTATAATAATAAATTTTTAAAATGTTTTAAATAATTACTCTATTATAATAAGGAATTTATTTTAAAGAGGTTCACTATAATGAAGGTAGTATGTATATTGAAACTGGTAAGGGATTATATTCATCACAATTGAATTCAATATAAATAATTTAATTTGTAATAGATCACAGATAAGAGGTCATAAAAGAATATTTGTATAATTGGCTAATGCAGATCAATTGTCTGAGTAACTTATTTATACAGTTTAAAATACTTTTCAAGAATATAACATTTTACTAACAAAAAATACAAAATTTGATTATTATTTACTTTGCAAAAATATTAATATTTAGTATGCAAATAAATCTTAAAAAGATCTCAAAACTGACTTACTTTACTTAGAAATAAAAATATTTATTATACAATCATACATAATTACTATATACAATAGAAAATTATTTAACTGGAAAATAGTATCTATATGTTATTTTTAATAGTTATGCTAACAATAGTTTGTTAAATTACATTCAATTAGAAAACACCATTTGTTTGAATTGTTATAATGAAATTGTAACAAGAAGTTTAGTTATATTTTAGTAACATGTTCAAGCTAGTATTAAATGAACTGAAACTAGGAAGATTGAAGTTAAAAATATTAACTCTTTAGAATAATCTGAAACTGATGATATTATTAAAGTTGAACATATTAGTTTTAATGAATTTGAGAGTAATAGTATTAATTGTTTGTCTTTTTCTAAAGCAATAGATATGTTGACAAAAATTTTATATAATCATAAAAATAAAGAAAAAAAGTCAACATTATATTCATTTGATGAATTTCAAAAGGTTATGAAAGAAGAGAATATATAATTAAAAGATTTGTTTAATGAGTTATATTTCTCTTCTAATTCATAGTCAAAAAACAAAAAATTAAGATTGTATATAAAAAAACAATTTTTGTTTGTATATTACTTTTTGTATAGAATTAAAAATAAGTTTGTAAATAATGTTAAGAGAGATTTGTCAATATATTTAAATTTAATTAGTATTTTTAATTTTATGTTAGATGTTCTTGCAGATTTAGGATTAACTATTATATCTTATTCAATTAGATGATATAAGACTAAGGCATCTGAAGAGCATGCTAAAATTGTTGATTTTGCATTTGTTAAATATCTTGAAATAGTTATAATATTAAATATTGATAATTATTATAGTATTCATATAGAACAGGTGTCAGACATAACCACAATATTCACTGCTATATACTTGGCAACAATATTGATAAATCCAATTATCATATAAAGAGTAATTCTATAAGCAAATCTTCATAATCCAAAGTTGGTTAATGCTAAATTAATTAAAATGAATATAGAAAATAAATTTATAATTTTTTATGTTCTTTTGTATAACTAATGCTGAAGATTTTGTGCAGTTAATAATAAACAAAAATTAAAAGAATTAAATATATATAATTATAATATTTGGCTTAAAGAGAAATGTCATCTTTATTTTATAAAGGATGTTGTTCTTATAAATTTATAAAAAAACAATCTTCATTCTATAAAAAAGTATATTGAAGCTATTAACATCATTACAAATATTCTATTAATACAGTGATATATTGAAGAAAAATATATTGTTCCTATTGTTGCCAATTGGCCTGAACTAATTTATATTAGAACTGATATCTTTTATTATTTTCTTTATTATGATTTTTTAAATATTACTAATACAATTTTATCTTTTCTTTTAATAATAGGTTCTCTTCATATTTTATTAAATAATCAAGAATTAATATTTATTTAGTATTAACTTTTTTTTTAATAATATATTAATATATTTTTGAAGAAAATAAACTTCTTATATAAAATCTCAAATCATAATATATTAATTTTATTTTAGAAATTTCTTATTATACTTGACAAAAAATTTTTACTATTATTGAAGAAAAATTCAGACATTTGTGCAAAGATGTCAAATATCTTGTATTTAAGAATCTTTTTGAAAATTTTATTCTACTTGTTTTGAATATTTATATTGTGTTTTTTAGATCTAAAGACTTTAATACTTATTTCAAATCTTGTTTTCATGTTTAGACAATATTTTTTAGGTTTAAAAATAGGAGTGATGTAGATTATTTGTCATATGATTTTTTTAGCAAATAAAATTTTATATATAAAAAAAAATATATTATTAATAAAACTTTTTAGTATTATATTTAATTGTTACCAAAATTTTTTTTTTTTTTTTTTTTTTTTTTTTTTGTTATGCCAAAGTAGAAACTTTATTAAGTAATAAAAGCAATTACATT